TTGCTTCTAGTGATAACCAAATGCAATATGACCCAGGCTTATTCGCTCAAATTCAAAATGCAGCCATAAAGGCTTGGCGCAAACTCCGGGTAAAGGGAGACCCTGGTGCATCTTTGACCTCAGTCAGACAAGGGCCTGATGAACGATTTTCTGATTTTGTTCATTGATTAATGACAACAGCAGGGAGGATTTTTGGTAATGCAGAGGCAGGTGTAGATTATGTGAAACAACTTGCATATGAAAATGCCAATCCTGCCTACCAAGCGGCCATTAGACCCTATAGGAAAAAGACAGACCTTACTGGGTATATCAGACTCTGTTCTGACATAGGGCCCTCTTACCAACAGGGCTTAGCTATGGCAGCTGCCATGCAAGGACAATCAGTAAGAGATTTTTTGGCAAGCAGAGACAAGAAGGCTTGTTTTAAATGTGGCAAGCCTGGACACTTTGCAAAAGATTGCAAGGCAGAGAATGAGTTAACCCAGAGACAGCCTAGAAAACAGCCTGGCCTATGCCCACGTTGCAAACGTGGAATGCATTGGGCTAGTGAATGTAGGTCCAAGACAGATGCACAAGGAAACACCGTTTCACATAATCAGGGAAACGGGAACATGGGCCAGCCCCAGGCCCCGAACCAACACAAGCCAAAACAGGCTTATGGGGCAGTCAGTTTCATACCAGCAAACAACAAACCCTTTCTGAACTTAGTCAAGCAACACCAGGAAGCGCAGGACTGAACCTCAGTTCTGCCACCCACACAGTATTAACCCCAGAAATGGGACCTCAGGCCTTACCCACTGGAGTGTTTGGACCACTCTATCCAAACGTGTTTGGCCTGATAGTGGGAAGAAGCAGTGCTACTATGCAGGGACTACAAATTTTTCCTGGAGTTATAGACAATGATTATCAAGGTGAGATTAAGGTAATAGCCAAGGCAATACAGAATATAGTCACCATTCCTACAGGAAGGAGGATAGCTCAACTGTTGTTACTTCCATTGATCCCTACTAATCACAAATATAAGAGTACTAAGAGCGGGGATCAAAGCTTTGATTCCTCTGATGCATATTTTGGTTCCTCTGATTCTCAAACAGCAGATGCCACATGCTGGCTGCCAGAGAGACTGATTAAACAAATAGACAACAATAACAAATCCAGGGAGGAGAAATCCCCTGGGAAGCATATTTTTTTCTTTGCAGGAAACATGAAGATACTTCACTGGAGTGGATCAACCAGCATACCTGAGTTGGAAAGTTCTCAGTGCAGAAGAAGACATCACCACCCGCACCTCCAGGGTCCTCTATTAGACTCTTAGTTCCCTGATTTATGATTTAGTGGGGTACATTGTTTAGACCCAAAAGAGAACCCATTACCACAGTTGCTATAGTTGTTTTTTGGGTTTGAGATTGATTGGGGCAGGGACAGGGATTTCCTTACTTGTTTTGTTAAGATCAAAGTTATGATCAGTTCTGTACTTATACAGATTTAGATTTAGAAAATAGTGCTACATAATAGAAGAGGCTTATACTTTTTGCTCCTCCAACAGAGGGAGTTGTGTGCTACCCTTAAAAAAGAGTGTTGCTCTAAGGCCGAATGGTTTACATCAACAATTCAGGCATTAAGTCTCTTGTCTCTCAGGTTCATGCTGTTCAACAGACTGATGGCTTTTGTATGACAACAGACAGATGCTATTCAAATGAGACCCATACAGGTCCGTTATTACAGGCTGGAAGTAGGGGACTCTAAAACCTCTGTCATCAAGACTGACGAGGATTAACCCCTAACTTATGCGCTAAGCCGGATAGTCAATGACGGGTAAGAGAACACCTCAAGACCCTTGCCCCGAACTGGGAGGCCTCACCATCCTAAGACAGGAGCTCAATCAATGGCTGTTGAGTATCCAAAGACGGGAAAGGGAGGCTGGGGTCCTTTGTTCCAACCTAAGACAGGCACGGTTTTCGTAAGTTTTCCCAGCCTTCCCTTTTGAAAACAAATTTAAAAAGGGGGACCTGTTGGGAGCCGACTCCTAGCCGAAAGTGGCTATCATCTTTGCAGCCATCTTAGGCCATATACCCTGACAAGAGACTTGTTTTCAACAGCCTGAAACAACTGAACACACTCTGATAAACATCTTGTTTTTCTCACATACCTTGTTTTGCTGTTTAGTGCCACCAGCTGCTAGGCACACTTGGTCTCCTCACTGCTAGCTAGGTGCATCTGATATCCACGGTGCTAGGCACATGACGTAGTGCCTTCAGCTGTGCTTGTCCACGAGGGCAAGGCACGTGGTAAAGGGTATAAAGACCCAGGATTTCCTTCCAATGAACGAGACTTGATCAGACTCCCTGTCTTATCTCCATTCTTTGTGTCTCCGCCCCTACTCTCTCTCTTGCTAGGCCCTGACCCGCGGACCGGAGCAGCAGAATGGGCAGCTACAAAGTGGTGCCTCAACGTTGGAGCTCCAGTAAGTGGGACACAGTGAAGGACACAGCGGGAATTGGAAGTGTGCATCCTCACTCCTTCGCTGGAGACCCTGCTGACTGACCCGAACAGGTTGTTACAACTGGTTACTCCAATAATATCAGGCCACCATTGCACCGGGAGGTACATCTTCCTTATTATACTCCCAAGGTTTCTAGCTGGGGAAGAATGTTTACTACTTTACACTCAAGAGAGCATACATAGAACGCTCACTCCATACCTATGAAAGCAGCCATTACAGAGGAATACTCTATGTTACCGCCACTGGAGTTCTATAGTCACAGTTCACAAAGTGAAAGTTCTGTCTTTACTTCATTACTGACAGATGAAAGAACCCATACGAGAAAGTTTGAGGTGCTGCTCGTTACATGTATCAAGAGAAAAGGACAAACGGCATACATATAACACTTGATAGTACTTGACCAGGCATCAGATAATGTTGGGGTCCAGGAATCGCCTCACAAACCACACAAACACCAATCTCACAGACAAGGATAGTTTAATGAACATACATCCCAGGACTGATTGGCCAGGGCCACAGTACAGATCTGGGAATAGAATAATGACATTCAGTTTAGATTTTATAAGGATTTAAGAGCCCAAATCTACAAACATCTGTGCCAAGTTATTTCACCATCAGGATTTAGGGATGGGGCATTTCCTTAGGAACATGTCTTTGTTGTGCACTTACCCTGTTCCCATTGGTTGAGGTATTCCACTGTGTCAGGGACTTACCTGATCTAACATTCATGTCTTAACTGGGCAACCAGGATGTCAGCTATCCACTTACATGCTTCTTTCTGCCAAGTAAGAAGTCAGTCTCCAGGGAGGTCTTGGGAACTTAAACGTTCCTCAAGTATGATTCAAAATAGAAGGCTTATTTTAAGTAGTTTTTTTTTTTTATGTCTCTTACATTTGGGGTCCATCCCAGGAGCATCTTATACCACAAAAATGTATACAGAGGCACAGGATGCTCTGATGGGTGTGCTGATGGATGGTTGGTTCTGATCCAAGCTTATTGTGGATAACTACATAAAACAGTTCTACTGACTTCTACAGCCATTAGTTTCCAAGAGCAGAGAATATAACAGAATATTTCATCAACTGCATGTTAGAAAGTTTCCTAGTGACATCAGAAACATATGATAAAATTTCCTTATAATGGCAGGCTACCCAGGTAACTGTCACCTAGGCCTTAACATTTTACCTAAGCCCTAATGTTCCGTCTAGGCTTTGATATTTTACCTAGGTTCCAACAATAATCAAATCTATCATTTCTGCTCAGTGAGTGCATTTGGCTTTGGTCCTTACAGTATGTGAATTTGTTGCTACGAAACTGGTGATGATACACACACACACACACACACACACACACACACACACACACACACACACTACTTTCTTAATTAAAGCAGATCAGAGATTCATTATTCTGGAACCAAACAGGACTGACAATCTGTTCTTTCAGCATTTCCTGGGGAGACAAACACTGATTCTCATCTCCCTCAAGCTGGCTGCCACTAATGCAGATCATTTCACCAAAGTCCATTTTGGTGAGAAATGTGAGTTTATAGAACTTCTTACAAAACCCAGGAGAGACATTATTACAGGCGCTTGGGTTTCTCCACCAGGAAAACAACAGTAAGTATACCGTGGCCCAGTACTTAGATTCAGGTCACCTAAACAGTAATGTAACAGCATGGTAACAGGTTGATGGTATAGTGATAGTTACAGAAGAAAGAAATGTATCGATCAAGCTATATTCCAAACACACTGGTTTATAGAGAAGTGGGAGATTACTTCAAAGATACATCTCTACTGTCCTCTGATCATGTTCTTAGCATTTTGCTGGTGGATATTAGATATTAAACATTTCAAAATAATTAAGTTAGTAGGTAAGCAGAGATAAGGTCATACAATAAACACTCTTCACACTTGTATGGTTTTTTTACATTATGGATATTTTGGAATGTAAGCTCTAACATAGAGTAAAACGTTTTGTCACACTGTTTCAAATTTTGGTGTTTCTCTCCAGTGTACCATCTTATGCTGAATCAGATAACAGTCAATGGAAAAGGCCTTTTCTCCACATTGATCACATTTCTATGGTTTCACTTGACATTGAATTTTTTTATGTTTCTTCAGTGGTAAATTAGAGTAAAATATTTTGGTGTATTCTTCAAACTAGTAAGATTTCACTCCAGTATGACACAACTTGTGCTGAATCAGGGAATAATTAGAAAACAAGGCTTTTCCACATTGTCACACTTGGATGGCTCCTCTCCAGAATGAACAAACTTGTGTTTCTTAAGGGTTGACAGTACATCCCCCTGAACACCCATACTCCAGTGTCATCCCCTTCCCCACATCCTGCCTTTCTGAGTTTATAACCCCTGTGTGAATGAATTACGATTTGAGAAAAAATAAATAATTTATAAAAAAAAATACACACATACACACACACATGCACACACACAGATGGAGGGGGAGAGATACTACCACACCATACACATACTGCACTGAAGTATAAAAATCAAATATATGATTAATATTTTATATGCAATAATTGCATTGCACTTGCATCTTAAACAGGCTCCTTTGTAAAAAACAAAAACAAACAGACAAACAAACAAACAAACAAACAAACAAAGGGTTGACAGTACAAAGGGCTTTAAACATTCTACACACTTGCAGAGACTGTCTTCATAATGAATTATTTGATGTCTTTTAAGGGTTGAAGAAGAAGAGGACAAACATTTCCCACAATGATCACACTTGTAGGGTTTCTCACCAGTATGAACTGCCTGGCGTCTCCTAAGAAATAAGGCTCTGTGACATTCTTCACACTTGTATGGTTTCTCTCCAGTATGAATTTCTAGATGTTCCTGTAGGTGGGAAGAACTAGAAAATTTTTTGCCACATTATACACACTCATGGGAAGTGTCTACAGAATGGATTTGATGTCTTTTAAGCGATGTAAAGGAAGAAAAACATTTCCCACACTCCTCACACTTGTAAGGTTTCTCTCTAGTATGAACTGCCTGGTGTCTCCTAAGAAACGAGTGGTAAAGAAAGGCTTTGTGACACTCCTCACACTTGTATGGTTTCTCTTCAGTATGAACTTTCTGATGCTCCTGAAGGCGGGAAGAACTAGAAAACCTTTTGCCACATTCTACACACTCATGGGGAGTGTCTTCAGAATGGATGATCTGATGTCTTTTAAGGGATGTAAGAGATGAAAAACATTTGCCACATTCTTCACAATTGTATGGTTTGACTCCAGTATGAATTGTTTGATGTTCCTGAAGCTTTGAAGAACGGGAAAACCCTTTGCCACATTCTTCACACTTGTAGGGATACTCTCCAGAATGCATTCTGTAATGTTCCCTAAGATATGAACGATAGCAAAAAGATTTGCCACATTCTTGACATTTGTACCTTTTCTCTCCGGAATCAATTCCTTTATGTTGGTTAAGGAAGAAAGCAGAAGAAAAGACTTTTCCACACTCTTCACACTTGTCAGGTTTCTCTCCAGAATGAATTCTTTGATGTTGCTTCAGCATTGCAGGATAGTAAAATGAATTTCCACATTCTTCACACTTGTAGGGTTTCTCTCCAGTATGAACTGCCTGGTGTTTCCTAAGATATGAGTGATGAAGAAAGGCTTTGTGACAGTCTTCACATTTGTATGGCTTCTCTCCAGTATGAATTTTTTGGTGATGCTGAAGATCTGAGGAACGGAAAAACCCTTTGCCACACTTTTCACACTTGTAGGTTTTCTCATCAGTATGATATTTCTGGTGTATCAAAAGCGATGAACGACTGCTAAGTGTCTTATGACATTCTTTGCACTTGTAGGGTTTGTCTCCAATATAACGTCTCTGGTGTGTAGAAAGTGCTGCCTGAGAACTAAGGGCCTTACCACATTCTTCAAAGTAGTGAGGTTCCTCTCCTGTGTGAATCCTCTGGCATTGAATACTTAGAGAGCTGTGGTCAATGGCCTCGCTGTGATTGTTAAATTCATTGCTTGTTGTTCCTGTTGAACAAGAGTTGATATATGAACAAAAGCTAAGAGACAGTCATCATTCTTACAATGTTTATCTTTAAAGTAGGGAGCTTTAGTCACACATATTTAACCATAAATGAAAATCTAGAGTATATTTCAATAGTTGTAGGCACTGAATATAAGTCAAAAAATATAGCAGGTGAACTAATCTATTCTACTGGAATAACTGCAGAACTAAATAGAACATAGACATAATGTCATATTTTCCAAAGTTAAAGAGCTAAGTAAGTTGTATGGTCATTTTAGTAACAGCAATAAAGCCTATTAAATAATATAAATGTTTTATAGGTGGTCATCCATGAAGGTATAAAGTAGTGTAGCCTGGAAAGAGAAGGCCAATTATGATTGTATGTGATTGGGCCATCATCAAAATAAAAAGAAAATGTATTGTACACTTAAATCCTTATTACTAAATATATGATAGGAAAAACTTTACAAGATATTTTTGTAATTCATAAAGCACTTTGATGAAATGACACTCACTAACACAAGTATGTTATGTAAATGTGTTAGGAGAGAATGTTATGGAATTTATTAGGAAGGAAACGTGTGTGTGAAGTTACCGTCTTACAATGGCTTCACACCTTGCTGTTGAGAAATGTGTGCATTGCCGAGACAGGGTCCACGGCCTTTCAAATTTCTGCATAAGTCTGTCAGATAGATGATCCTTGGCCAGAAGACCGAAGACAGAAGCTCTCGAATTCTGAAAAATGGGAGACTGTCCAGGTAGTCAACTGTGTGTGTAAATTGGTCAAGTTTTGGAAGCCATGTTTTGTGCTTCCTATATTTTTGGGTAATATTTAGTCATTCTCAGATTTCTGTTGGATTTGAAGACTAGTTGAGTCTCATAATCAAAGTCAAGTTGCTTAACATATGGAGAATTTATAGAGTAGTTGACATGTTTTTCAAGTGATGTTACAGGTTAAAATTCTAAACGTAATCCAGGGATAGAATCATAATTCTTTCTGTTAGGAAATATGGTACTTTGTCTAAATTGACAAACTGATAAATAGGATGTCACTTGTACCTCATACTGTATAATTTCCTTAATTGTTCTGGCTTTGTTCAATTTATATCTGGAAGAAAAGGTTTTATTATTATTATCATTATTTATTGGACAGAAGCTGTGAGATGTAGAGGGAGGTGTCAATTCCCTAATTGGTTCTTCACTGTGTCAATAAAGGAGGTGGAAGCCAATTGCTGGGCAAAGGGGGAAAAGGTGGAACTTCTGGGTTCCAAAAAGAAGAGAAGAGGAAGAGAAAGAGGATTTTAGGAAAGGTTCTGGAGCAAGGGAGAAGCAACAGACGTGTAGGTCTTGGGGCCCCTAGAGTTTGTAGCCTCTGCTGCAAGCAGGGGACCAAGGAGGATGGAGGGAGCTAACTGATAAGATTAGGGCAGGAAATTCTTCACCCAGCCATTGAGTTATCTGGATAGTTTTAAAATAATAAAACTGTCTAGTGTTTTCCATCCATGGCGTTAAGGGTGGGCAGGCAGAGAAAGAGCATAGCAGTGGCCCTTAGCCGGTAGAGCCTGAACAGCAGCTCCTGGAATTTTTAGGGGAAAGTGCCCCCTGGTGGCTTGGCAAAGCTAACCATGCGGGGTAGGGAACAATCACTGATCCTGGGAAAAATGGCTGATGGCAAAGCTAAGTAAGATGAGCAGCTGCTGATCTCTGAGCCTAGCTGGGAGTGCAGGTAGAGTACCCGAGAAGGAGCCAGAGAGTTTTTAAAAAGTACACACAACAACCAACAACAAAATAATAGGAATTAACAATCATTGGCTATTAATGTCTCTCAATATCAATTACATCAATTCTGCAATACGTGAAAAAGGCTAACAGAACGGAAGCAAAACAGGATCCATTCTTGTACTGCATGCAAAAAACACACCTCACCGTCAAAGTACACATTACATCACGTTACACACTACATCAGAGTAGAGTGTTGGGAAAAGAGCTTATAAACAAATGGACCCAAAAGACAAGCTGGTGTAGCGATTCTAATATCTCACAAAAAAAGACTTCCAACCAAAATTATGCAAAACACATGGGGAAGGACGCTTCAAACACATCAAAGGGAAGATCCACCAGGAGGGCATCTCAATTCTCAACATCTCTGTCACAAATGCAAGGGACATGTTTGAGAATGAAACTATACTGAAGCTTAAATTCCTCATGGATCCTCACATATTAATAGTGGGAGACTTCAGTACCCCACTCTCACCAATGGACATGTCATCCAGAAAAACAAACAGAAAAGTAATGGAGCCAACAGATGTTGTGAATCAAAATGTACCTAAAATATATAGAAAGAACATGTCACCCAAACACAAAATATACCTTCTTCCAACCATCTCACAGAATTCTGCATAATGGACCATATACCCAGTCACAAAGCAAGATTTAAAAGATCTAAGAAAACTGAAATACCTCCCTCCATCCTATTGGACCACCATGGATTACAAGTGGATTTCAATAACAGTAGAAAGCCTACAAACTCATGGAAACTGAAAACTCTCTACTGAATGACTACTGGGTCAAGGCAGAAAGTAAGAAGAAATGGAAAAAAAATTCCTAGAATTGAATGAAAATGAATGCCTAACATACCCAAACTAATGGGACACAAGAAATGTAGTCCTAAGAAGAAAGCACATAGCACTAAGTGCCTTCATAAAGAAACTGGGAGAGACCTCATTCATACCACCAACTTAACAGCACATCTGTAAGCTCTAGTACAAAAAGAAGCAAACACACCCAAGAGGATATATGGCAGGAATAATCAATGAAACCAAGAGTTGGTTCTTTGAGAAAATCAACAAGATGGACAAACCCTTATCCAAACTAAGGAAAAGACACAGAACATCCAAACTAACAAAATCAAAAGGAAAAAAAAAAGGAGGACATACATCAAGGAAATTCAAAGAACTATAAGGTCATACTTCAAACACCTGTACTCCATAAAATTGGAAAAACTAAAATAAACGTATAATATTCTTCATAGATACCACTCATTGAAGTTACGTCAAAAGCATATACATTGTTTAAATAGACCTAAATGTCCTAAGGAAATACAAGCAGTGATTAAAATTCTTCCAAACCAAAACAGAGTAAGGCCAATGCCACTTCAGGGTGGAAAGTTCTTTCTAGGTCAGCCTGCTCTTCATAGCCAGCAAGTAAATGATTTAGTCTGATCAGCACTGGGTGGCATCCCCCTGTGTCTTACATTATAATGTATACTCAACAAAATGAGGGACTTGACATGCTCCTTAAATATAAGCAGAGCTTACCAGAGGGGATACCTTGATACCTTAACCATTAAAAATGTCTGAGTTATGTCTTTTTATTACAGCAGAAGAAATTAAAAGCTATACCACACAAATAATTTCTACCACAACAAATGTCTCAGTGCTCATGGTAGATCCTGGCCTCCACTTGTATCTTTGGATGTCTCATCTGTCCTCTGACCCCCTCATTTCTACACACCTGGAGGACTGGAGGCTGATGCTTGTCTCTTCACATCCAAAGACCCTTGATTTTGCTCCAGAAACGTTACCAAGTATGGCTTAGCGACAGCAAGACCTGTTTGTAGGAAAGAGGAACAACACGGTTTGAGTGGTTCTTCTACTGGCAATGGGGCTGGTTCCTTCTAGAATACTGCTTAGAAGAAAAGACATGATGAAAGTTAGAAAATCAAAACAATTAATTGTGTACATGTTTTCTGATTGGCATACTGGAATACTGCCGAGTCACTTACACTCTGCAGATTCTGACCTTCATTTAAAGGGAAAACATTAAAAATTCAATTGCCGCCGGGCGGTGGTGGCGCACGCCTTTAATCCCAGCACTTGGGAGGCAGAGGCAGGTGGATTTCTGAGTTTGAGAGTTCGAGGCTAACCTGGTCTACAGAGTGAGTTCCAGGACAGCCAGGGCTACACAGAGAAACCCTGTCTCGAAAAACCAAACCAAAAAAAAAAAAAAAAAAAATTCAATTGCCAAATAGTTACATTAACTTTCTATGAATTTTACTAGAGTAAAGGAAACATACTTCCAACACACACACATTGCAAACAGAAGAAAAAGCAAGATATTTCTTATCTATATGTAGGCTCTCTAATATTTCCTTAAAATGAAAGTTATTATAGAAAGCTCAATTAAATAATACACCAAAGGAGGAAGCTACATGTTAATGGTATAAAAGAATTGAGTATAGATGCAATGCTCACCCAGGAACACAAGGTTGCTGTAATTCTCCAGCATCACGTCCCTGTACAGATTCCACTGAGCAGGCTCCAGGCATTCTTTCTCTTCTGGAGAGAAATCAATGGCCACGTCCCTGAAGGACAGCATTTCCTGAAATAAAGACCAACAAATGGTACCACACTATTATTGATTAAAACCATTAATAATAATATAAATACAAATGAACTTCAATGTCAAAACCCAGTCTCAAGCTCACAAACACTTGGTTTGACAGAAAAGCGGCAAAACATACAACTGCACAAAAGACATGGTGAGGAGCATACAGTGTGCCATCGGGTCTCCAGGGCTGTGTGCCCTCTGCAGACCTTCAAGCTCCCTCCAAGGCACTAAAATCCCTACGACCACATCTGTCCTCACACCAACTCATGTCTCCAACCCCGAAAGGAGTTCACACTCTCAACGTCATGGTATCTGATGGAACAGGGAGAGTTGGTATTATTTTTCACCCCACACTGTAGGATCAACCTTGCTATGGCAATGCAACTCTCAGAGTCTCCTGTGATGACGTTGTTCTGCCTACATATGGGGTGGTTAATGTGAGGACTCAGTAGACATTTTTGTTATGAAGTTGAAAACCAAAAGCTAACATTGAGGTGTTGGAGGAAAAAAAAAAAACTTTTCACAGCAGGGCCAGACTTACAGTCTCTCAGAGAGGAGAGACTGAAGAAGCCACAGTATCCAGAAGCACAGAGAATTTATTGGGGAACATCGATGTTTGGTTCAATAGTAGGTTAGTCATTCTGGACAGACAATATGTTCACAAAATCCATAAATCAAAACTGTACATTTACAGAAGAGTTTGACCGATTGAAACAGGCAGCGTGTGTACAATCTTACAATGAGGACACCTCTGTTAACACCCTGTGACAGGTTCTACAGTTCCATGCTTACAACCTCTGAGGCCAAAGTTTTATCTCTTGTTTTACTTAGGTAGATTTTAATTCCCCCTCCACTGAGAAACAGCTCAATATCCTTTTAGAAAACATGTGTGTCGAGCCACTACTTTCAAGTGAGGAACTAAACACTTTCCATGAGGGATTTCTAATCCAAGTGAACCATCTTTACATCCACAATTCATTTCAAGGAAAGTGGAAGAAACGTCTCATTCCCCTATCTCCCGTACAGGCCTCTGACCCTGGAACCTAGCAACTTCTGTCATCTCAGAGCAAGACAAGAGTAAATGCATGTGCAATAGTTTAAAACTAGCTCCATTTCCAACCGAGCGTTGTACAACACAGCCACAGAAACAAACAGCAAACAATAGTAACCAGATGTACATTCTCCTTCCGTAATCTCTCTTAATTTCTGCTTGCTCAGAAAACAAACAAACTTCACATAGCAGAAAATCCCCTGAGTTGAGATGTTTGTGGTGTGTGCCTTTAAAAATCCCAACCCCTGTCTACTCTTTTGCAGCAGTTCTCAAACTGGCAAAGCAGACTGTGGCTCTAAATAAGCAGTTTTAGTTGGTTGGTTGGTTGGTTGGATTTTTACCTTTTAATTCCTAGTTTTGTTCGGAGGGTTTTCTCAGTGGACTTGAACCCCTTAACAGACAGTCGTACAGTACAGAAAGGACAGATCTCCTCTTGACTAAACATACTGAGAAATCCAGTAACATCCACGTGAGAGTGACCCAGCTAATGAGCAAACGCTTCCACCAGCAAGCTGGAAAGTGAACGCCCAGCATCACCACGTCCAGGCAAAGACCTTCACCCAACCAACACTGCCCAGGCAGTCCCGGTCCTTACAAGCTTCTCCATTCCCTGAATTCTGTCAGTCTAACACAGAGGTCACTCCCACCACCACCCGCAGCGCCCTCTCCCCAGCCCTGACCAGGAGCCTCCTCCAAATCAGCTCCTCCCCGCCCCCATTCGACCCGTGCGTGTTCCCTCCGGATCTACGCACCCCGCACAGCCCCTTGGGTGACTGAACCCTGGACCAACCTCCATGTCAGAGATCCAACGGGAGAGCCTAACAGGACCAGAGTCTGGCCCAGCTTTGGATAAGAGCCGCACATGCTTACTAAAAGATAAACTGTTTATCAAAAGTACCGATCTGTGACGTCACTGCGTTGCAGACTACATTTCCCACAAATCTGTGGGATGACGTTTTAGGAGTCCTTGGAGAGAGAGTTGTACTATTTAACGGTCCTGGATTTCTGCCCTGATGTCTGTCTGCAATGTAGTGTCACTTAGTTAGGAAACATGGAGACCACGTACTGTGTCTAGTTCTTATGAGCCGAATGTTTATGTAAGATGCCGCTTTCCCCAGTTCCTGTGGCCCAGCTTAAGGGGAAGAGGATTTTAATGGCAAAGTTCATAATTACTTCCTTCATTTCCGTGGAACAGAAACCAGAGCAAGTGTTAATCGTTTCAGAAGAGTTTTACAATTTTCTGGAGGAGGGAAGTTGCCAGGAGCTTATCATTTAGTAATTTAGAGTGGGTGCCTAGCACAAAATAAAGTTTTCCTCACAGAGGATGGAGAGCAAAAATCAGGGAGTCAGGCTGCTTTTAGCACTCAGGTTTCACAGCCTGAGGTGATGGAACTCACCTTTAATCCCAGCACCCTGGAAGCAAATGCAGGCACCTCTGTGAGTTCCAGGCTTGCCTTGTTTACGTAGTGAGTTCCAGGCCAGCCTGGGCTACACAGTGAAACCCTGTCTCAAAAACAAAACAAAGCAAAACAAATAAACAACAAAACCAGAAATATCCAGATTCATCACAGATGTTTATGAATCAAGCCTTTCCACGTTATGTTTGTTACATTTACAAGTTGTTTCTCATCAATATGTTTATTTTAATCTTCATTCTGCATATTATAAAGTGTTACTTAAGCTTGTAAGAAAAGAAAAAAAAAAGAAACAAGCAAGAAAGAGAACAGGAGCTTGCCAGGTGTCTTGGATATGCCTTTAGTCACTTGGGAGGCAGAGGCAGGAGACACTCTAGTTCTAGGAGAACCAAAGGCATATAGTGAGACTGTCCCAAAAAAGAGGAGGGGGTGGATACCATGTTGGCAGTTTTAGTTAGAAATAATAGAAGCCCCTCTGGTCAAGCCAGGCTGTTCTGAGCAGCCTTCTAACCCAGGGGACCTCCACTCTCCTACTACCTCTCCCCACCTCCATCTGACTTGGGAACCATACAGGTAATCTTCCCTTCCCCCACCCTTCTTCCCTCTATCTGAGTCCTCTGGGGCAAGCCAAGCTGCCTGAGCAGCCTGCCATCCTAGGGCTCCTCCATTCTCCGACCAAATCTCTCTCCACCTTCATGGAACCTGAGACTCCTGAACCGTACAAAACTGCAGGTTCACAACCTTACAGCCCAAGGATACCCATCAGAGGCCTGCCACACCAGTCATCCAGGTTCACCCACCTCACTATACCTACCATAAAACATCCAGGGACCAAAACCATCTAGATGGCTAAAGACCCTCGAAACAATACAATCGACACAAGCCAGGGTGATATGACACCTCCAAAGCACAACTACCCCGTGACAGCAAGCCCTGGATATCCTAATACAGCCAAACCACAAGAAAAATGTAGTGGCTTGTGATACATACACCCACAGCCAAAGTGAATGGCACTTGGGGACTGTTCGGGAGGAATAGGCCCCGAAGGGGATGGGAACTCCACAGAAAGACTAACAGAGTCAACTGACCAAGCCAGCTCAGTCAGTCAACAGGTTCTCCAGCGCAGGAGTGAGGATTAAAAGAAAAGAGACGGTTAGACAATATCATAGCATGACCCCAGCCAGTTCTGAGGCTGAAGGCTGAGGCAGGTTTATTTTTTCCCACTTTTCTTTTAAACCATTTTAATTACATGCAAGTATTTAGGTCAGTTCTAGGTTGAGGTAGCAGCAATACAATAGCTGCAAATAGCCAAGGAACAAACAAGGCTATAAACAAAGTCCCATCACTCCTGAGTTCACTCTCATGATCACTGTTTCTAAGGGCTCATCAGGATGACAAAAATATTCTACTTCCCTGTCCTAGCCCAAAGTCATATTCATGCCTGAGGTCTACTTCTTTGTTCTAGCCTAAGACTTAGATTTCTTTTTCTTTTTTGGTTTTTCAAGACAGGGTATAAGACTTAGATTCCTAACTGAAATTACTTCTCTGTTTTACCCTAAAATTAGATTCCTGCCTGAATTTACTTCTTTGTCATGGCCCAATGTCAGACTCCTGCTTAAAGCCCATTTCCTTGTCCTTGGCTAATGTCAGATTCCTGCCAAGCAGCCCCAAAAGCTTTCCACAGTCAACTAACTTGTACCCCTGGGTTTCTCAGAGTCTGAAACACCAACCAAAGTACATACATGGGCTGGACCTAGGCCTCCCCACTCTTGGGTCGCAGATGTGTACCTTGGTCTTCAGGTGGGTCCCCAACAACTGGAACGGGGGCTATCCCAAAAGCTGTTGCCTATACATGGAATATATTTTACTAGCTGAGCTGTGTTGTTTGGCCTTACTGGGAGACGAAGCACCTAGCTTCGAAGAAAGTTGAAGTCCCGGGGTCAGGGGTGGGGGGGACGGTAGATACCTGGGAGTGTGCTGCTTAGAGGAGGGATGAATAGGGGAAGGATTGTGGGAGGGGTGACCAGGAGCGGGCATTTAGTAGGCTGTAAACTGTGTAAGTAAGACAATAAATTTAAATTTAAAAAAAGAGAGAGAAAAAAATAACAGAAGCAGTACACTAATGCGGGCATGAGGACTACATGTTTAAGATTATTTTTGAATCCCCCTTGGGTGCCCTTGCCTATGCCTCCAGCTGCTTTGGATCTTATGGCAGAAGAATCCTGAATCCAAAGCAGGTAGGGGAACGTATGGAGCCTCTGTTTCTAAGTAAGAAGTGGAAAAGCAGATAGGGAGCTTCCGTAGGGGCAAAGCACTAGCCTAGAATGGAGGTTTTGGCCTACTACCCAGTACTGCACATGCATAAGTGAGCCGTGTTCTTCTGTGTTGACACCCTGAGTGAATAACTGTCAGTGTACTAAGTCAGCAAGATGGTCAGAGAAGGAGGGGCACTGCAAGACGGGATAAGCTTTAGGACAAGCAGAAGGGGATCCGCTTCTGATGGACTGACAGCCTAGGAGCTTTGCAGAACTTTTGTTGATTTTTACACCAAAGGCCTTTTTTCAAGTCAATTCCCGAATATCAAAAGCTCTTATCTGATCTAGGAGTTGTCTTAGGATACCATTACCTGAGCAAACACAGTCATGAGAAGAATGTCATGTTTTCCAGGACTGTTTCAAGACTGAGGTCATGTTAAGCTTCTGTAATTCTCAAGGAAGACTGACCCTATGAATCTTTGATAACAATCACGGATTGATTATTCACAGGAGATCATTACTAGGCCAAAGAGCCATCACCCTGGAGTAAATGCCAGGTGCAATGGCTACTCTAAAATTCAACTACAAGTCATACACAGATCAGAAGCCACTACAGGAAAACAGTTTTCATTTGAATATTGGAATCCATAGAGTGTAGGACGTTAGTCAACAGACACATAGAATATCTAAGTCATCAAACAAAATTAAAGTCCTGCTTTCTGTCATTTACTAGTAAAGATCTCCCAGCTTTCTCTCAGCTTTCTTTCTGTCTGTAAGTCCTTTCTCTGTATTTTCATCCATTAGATCTCCCAGCTTTCTCTCAGCTTTCTTTCTGTCTGTAAGTCCTTTCTCTGTATTTTCATCCATTAGATCTCCCAGCTTTCTCTCAGCTTTCTTTCTGTCTGTAAGTCCTTTCTCTGTATTTTCAACCATAAGAAAGTTAGCTTTTGTGAGAGTTCTACCAGAATTGCTGAGATATTTCCCTGGGTTTTCACAGCTCAGGTAAGTATTAATCATCAGGTGTTCCCTGAGCTCGTGCTCACCTCCCCTGCAAGTTGGGAGGAGCTAAGGTGGAAGGAGTAAGGAGAGGAAGAGGAGAGGGAAGAGGAAGAAATAGGGAGAGAGGACCAGAGAGAGCAGAACATGGAAGCGGATGTGCATGTGTCTCTAGCAGTCAAAGGTAGTTGGTATATCTCGGTTGGGTACTGGGTTACACCTCTAATTGTGTGAGCATCTTGTTATTAAGTATTACCAAACACATAAAGCCTTTGATTAATCTTTAAGCATTAGAGTCTCATTCCTACCGGGTACCACATGGATGGTGGGATGGTCTGGGCTCAGCCCAGCCTCGTGGAGACAGCGTGGAAGACTGGCAGAGCCATCTCCCATGCTGGTGTCTTGTGGGTGGCAGGGCTGGTGTCTCTGGCCGCCCAAGCTGGTGGCATGAGCCACTTGTGACTACAGGCCTAGGCTAGTTGGGAACATGGTGGCTCTGTAACACAAGCAGATTGAGTGCCACCAGATTTAAATAATTATTTCAACACCTACCCCAGGAGGAAGGATGCACAGTTCCTGTGATCACACTGATGTGTATAATGGCCCATCATCCACTATTGGAATTCCCTATGCAGAGGTTAGATTTATCTGGTGCAATTAGCTTTGGCTTTTCTGATGCTGAATCTGTGGGTATGGAACAACATCATGAAAGTCAAGAGTATCTCCTCCTTTGAGCTTTCCTCAGTTCCTCCAAGTCAGGATATAGAAATGACTCTCCCTCAAATATAAATCAATATATGTCAGAAATATACTCACAGTAATATCAGATGAACTGGTTGGAATTTGAGAACCAAATACCTCATTTTAAACCACAATCTGCTCCCCTGGTACCAGCCCTTTCCCTTTCCTCTCTTACTAGGACTGTCATTTAGTGCATCTCTAAAAGTTCTCATGGACTTTAACAATGCCAGTAATAGTCATAGATTTCAAGATCACTACTTCAACATGCCCTAAGACAGTTTAAATGTGCCTTTTGCAAATTGGGGGGTGGGGGTGGGGCAAGGAAGCGATCTGGTATGGGAAGACAGGAACAAAGTAAGACATCAGTGCAGGGGGAACACTCAGTTCCTATAGCATTGCGTATCTGGCGTCTGAGGCCCTGAATAGAATGGTCTAGCCTACCAAGAATTTGCCAACCCCAAAACCCATCTCTATGGCTTTACTTATATATTCATAGGACCTGGATGTTCAATGTAATGTGACCGACCCCACAGGGACTGTTAAAGGGACCCATTGCATCAGAAGCACTTCTCTTCAAGAATGCTGAAAGGTTCCGTTTTGACCTACATGTTGTACCTCATAGCCTACAAAATCTGGACACTATGGCCAGTGCTGTCAAGTCCTGTTCCAATGTTGGCATAAGGTCGGGACTCATTGCGAAGTTTCCATTGTCTCTGGTGTTAACCCAAGAGATACTTACCTAGAGGTGTAGCTTTGAGCTTAAGGGGGGGCCGCCCCCCCCCGCCATGGAATCTCATCTTTCAAATGGAATTGCACTTCCATAAGATAGACTTTCCATGGATGTGCTCTTGGTTCAGGGCACATTTCATCTGGGCTCAGTACAGGGTTCCACAGTGCCCTTTAGTGTCCCTTACAGTGACAGCGGATCTGACATTTTCTGTAACTTTAAAGTCACCGTGGTTTACAGTGAGAATGGAATTCTCTAGCTTCGTACAGCTGAATGCCTGGGCCCCAGTTGGTGGGAACTGTTGGGAAAGAATTAGGAAGTGTGCTCTGATCACGTGAGCTGTGTCAGTGGGGGTGGGCTCTGAGTTGACAGATGATGTCATGACAGTCCCAATTATCTTTTTGTGCCTTGGTTGTGGATCAAGGTGTAAGCTCTCTGCTCCTGTTCAGGACCATGCCTGCCTGCCTGCCTGCCACCATGTTCCCTGCAGAGGACCATTCCGTGTTTTCACCACAAGCAGGAAAGAAAACTTCCTCATGGGTTGTCTCACAGCAATTAGAAAGACACCTTGTTCTGTGACTTTTTTTTCCCAATGTAGAAGAAAGAGAAAGGCAGACTACCTATTCGCATCATAGCTGGCTCTAGTAACAGCCAAAATTCCACTTAAGCCCGTCTTCATGAAGCAGTGCGTTCGTATGATGGCTGCTGATACAAATATGATTAGGGGATGTATCCGGAACAGGGAGGACTCAAACGGCAGCAAGAGCACAGTTAAAGATCTGACGGGAGCTAGGTAAGAAATCGGGAGCGCTCCATGACTGCAGCTCACTGAGTGCCATGCAGGAAGCTTCTCTAATGAAGGGGTCTCCTCACCTACAGTCCTGCCCACATAATCTTCAACAGGGAGGGTGTCGTAAGTCTTGTAAATGCCTGTGAATACCCAAAGTCTATCACATGCTAATTTCCCTAAGGAGTTGTGAAGGACAACAAAAGAGAACTGATGTTTAGGTTCCAACTCCGTCCTGGATTTTGGATTGTTGGTGTATAAATACAAGAAACATATTCAGTAGAGACAGACTTAAATCCAATATGAGTGAGTCCGATTCTGTTCTGAGTGTCCATATTAAGTGTACAGAAGCTCCTGGGCTCTGTAGTCTTTGGGCCTTCCTTATTAATTTTGGTATATGATCTTATTTTTTATTTTCAACAGTTAAGCAACAGGGTTTGAAATTTTTTTAAAAAATTAGCAATTTTAAATTTTTTTTTTTTAAAAAAAGAAGAGCAATACCACCCGAGAGCGAGTCTCTGCCACACTCTTCATCTTATGCTGGTCCTTGAGAGGCTTCCCTCACAGACGGTAGCTCTGAAAAATCATTCTCTTTCAGAATAGATGTTTGTCCATAAAGCTCATTTCCATTTGTAATGACATCTGCCTCTGTGTTACTCCAGGAATTGGTACCTAGGTCTACAGAGACTTCATTCAGGAAGAAAACATTGATTCACATACATACATACGTACGTACATACGTATGTACGTATGTAGAAAACCTGATCTTTGTTCTATGTGCACTGCTGGGCACTTCTTAGCTTTAAAAAACCAAACCCATAACCCCTTTGGATACAACAGCCTTTCATTGTTATGGACAAGGAAAGGGATGTAAGCCTGAACCTGAGACCCTTTCTTCAGGCTCTGCTTCAGAGGTTTACTCATTTCTCTGTGTTTTCTCCACCGTGCAAATGTTTACTTATTAAAAAACTGTTTTCTAAAAATACCAACTATATATGTTGTCTGTTTAATGTTTCATACACCGAATTCATTCATGTTATAACCAGTAACCAGAGCAGCTGTGGTCGGTATGCATACAGAACAAAAAGGGTGGGGGAGGCCAGCACTCATCTTTGCTGTTTTGCTCAGGGCGGAGCCAAGTAGAAGATGCTAGTTGAGTCTGGCTGTGTGGCATCTCTGCAAAGCCACCTGTCCTTCCCTAATGTTACATCGATGCAGAGCTTTTTGTCCTCAGCATCTGACCCCTTCTGGGAGTCTTCTCACTCGCTCCCCCATGATGCCGTCCCAGGAAGATGCTGTCTCTCTGTAACCTCTGTGACAGCCTGAGTCATGTGCTGTAATCACCGCTGAAACACATCAACTTTGGGTATGTCCCAAACCAACCGTTTTGAGATTCCCGTTTGTTTCGGGAGAACACGTGTGCAATGCATGTTTCCACTGAGTCTCCTCGTTCCTCCATCTATTACTTCTTACCCTTAAGGGCGTGTTACTTCTCAACTTCCTGGGCTTTTCTTAATTTGATCTAGTGCTTGCCCTATGTGTAGGGGTTTAGTACAACGGACTGGAGTCCAGATGCCTCTCAAACTGTCTCCCACAGGAGCTATCAATTGCCAATAGCTCTTCCACTCAGGGCGTGGCCTTGATCAATTGCTAGTAGCTACTCCACTCAGGGTGGGGCATGAGAAGGCCCTCATGCACCCATGCATGTTTTATGACTGGCTTTAGCTTCTGAACATGTCCACATACTTATTAACCATAGTGGATTCATGCAGGCAATGGTAGTGACGTTTCTGGCCAATGCTGTTTCACTGTAGACATCACTACATCTGGCTCTGAGACAGCAAGCTGTTGCTACCTCTTCTTCCCCAGGGATTCCTGAGGTTTGGGATTAGGTGTGTGATGCAGGTGTTTCATTCAGGTTAGTGAATCCCCAAGGTACTATTTGCTACAGGTAAGTAATGATGAGTTTGTGTATTATTGTCCCTCAAACACACAATTCATATTTTTTGGGCAGATTTTGAGAGGTGCCTGAATCTTTGGGTAGAAAAAGAAAAAAGTAAATAAGCTAAAAGCACTTGGGTTCATTTGGTTACCATGCCCACTTATCAGGATAGCAGGTTCATCACCACATTAACACCACCAGGTATTAGTTACAGCCTGTGGGCTGAGCTTTAAATCCAATTAGAAGATGACTGGTTACTACAATAACTAGGCACCATTGCACCCGGAGGTACATCTTCCTGATTATACTCCCAAGGTTCATAGCTGGGTAAGAATATTTATTACTTCACACCAATGTATAGAAAGCCCCATGAGCTTTAAAGTCACCCAATATAGAAGAATATCCCATATTAGCACCACTGGATTTTACAGCCACATTTCACAAAATGAGAACTCTGTCTTTATTTCATTACTGGCAAGTGAACAAACCCACGTGAGAAAGTTTGAGAGATTCTTGGGAATTCATATCAAGACTTAAGAGCTGCATATGCAACACTTCATACTTCTTTTTTTTTTTTTCACAGTCCACGAAGGCTTTTTTTTTATGCTTTACATTTAAAAAAAGAATCCCAGGATTTTCCCTCCAGTATGTTTTCGTCTTGCCTCTTCATGGTCCATGATGCCAGCAGAAGTTGTCAGCACAATGAAACCAAACTGGCGTGATGGGAGCAGATTGTTCTGCCATTTTTCTAGGTCTTTGAGTTGAACATCAAATCTAGGGCTTATAACTCCACACTTGTTCAACCTGCCAGTGAGGTTCACCACTATCTTTCCAGCTCTGTGATCATCAATAATCTCGAATTCACCGATGTAACCATGCTTCATCATCACAGTTAAGAACCGAACGATGACTTTAGAACACGGCCTGATGAGGACCTGGCGTTTGCCTCGCTTTTCGGCGTTGTTGATGCTCTTGAGAGCATCTGCCAGAACATTCATTCGCACCATGGTGATGGCGAGGGAAGATGGCAGAAAGAAAGCAACACTTCATACTTCTTAATCCGGCATCTGATAATGTTGAGGTCCAGAAATCACCTCACAAACCACACGAACACCAATAGCAATTAGACAGGGGATGTTTATTGTGCATATACCCCAAGACTGATTGTCCAAGGCTACAGTCTAGATTTGGGAAATGAACCATGACACTGAGTTTAGAGGTTACAGAGACTTTAAGCCTGAAAACCACAAACATCTGTGCCAATCACCATCAGGATTTAGGGATAAGGGCATTTCCTAAGGAACATGTCTTTGTTGTGCACTTATCCTGTTCCCATTGGTTGAGGTATTCCACTGTGTCAGGGGCTTACCTGGTCTAACACTCAAGCCTTAACTCATCTACCAGGACTTGTCTAACATTCATGTCTTAACTGGGCAACCAGGATGTCAGTTATCCACATACATGTCTCCTTCTGCCAAGTAAGATGTCAGTTTCCAGGGAGGTCTTGGGAACTTAAATGTTCCTCAAGTATGATTCAAAATAGAAGGCTTATTTTAAATAGTTTTTATGTCTCTTACATTGAGGTCCATCCCAGGAGCATCTTATACCACAAAAGTGTATAAAGAGGCACAGGAAGTACTGTTGGATGGTTGGTTCGGATCCAAGCTTATTGTGGAAAACTACATAAAAAGTTCTACAGATTTCTATAGCCATTAGTTTCCAAAGGCAGAGAATATAACAGAATATTTCATCAATTGCATGTTAGAAAGTTTCCTAGTAACAGCAGAAACATATGATAAAGTTTCCCTATGATACATTACGTAACTCTTAACATATTACCAGGCCTTAACATTCCATCTAGGCTTTGATATTTTACCTAGGTCCCAACAATAATCAAATCTATCATCTCTGCTCAGTGAGTGCATTTGGCTTTTGGCCTTATTACAGTATGAGAGTTTGCTATGACAATGATGAAGACACACACACACACACACACACACACACACACATGCACACGCACATGCATGCAAACAATAAATGCTTTCTGAACTTAAAGCAGATCAGAGATTCTTTATTCTGGAACCAAACACAACTGACTGTCTCTTCTTTAGGGGTTTACTGGGGAGACAAACACTAATTCTCATTCACCTCAGGCAGGTTGTGACCAATGCAGGTCATTTCATCCAAGTCAAACTTGGTGAGTCTATGGAGCTTCCTACAAAACCAATGAGAGACATTGTCACAGGTGCGCGGGTGTCCTCACTGGGCAATCAACAGTAAGTAACCATGGCCCAGTACTCAGATTCAGGTCACCCAAACGATTTATAACCGTTTCATGGTACACTGACAGTTGCAGAAGAAAGACATTTATCAATCAAGGTATTTTCCAAACCCACTGGTTTAGAGAGTAGTGAGGAGATTACATCAAAGATATGTTTATACTGTCACCTGACCATATTCTTAACGTTTGTGCTCGTGAATATTAGATACTTAACATTTCAAATAATTAACTTAGTGTGATAAGGTGATACAAGGAGACACTCTTCACACTTGTATGCTTTGTCTCCAGTATGAGTATTTTGGAATTTAAGTTCTAGAATAAAACATTTTGCCACACTGCCCACATTTGTGGTGAACCACTTTGTACTGGTAACAGTCAATGGAAAAGGCTCTTCCCCACCCAGCATGTTTCTATGCTTTCTCTTGACACTGTATTGCCTTCTGTTTCTTCAGTTGTGAAGTAGAGCTTTTTCCTACATTCTTCCCACTGGTAACATTTCACTGCAGTGTGATGTCACCTTAAAACACTCACTGATTTAAATGACTTAACCTTAAATCAGGGAAGAATTAGAAGACAAGGCTTTCCCACACTGTTCCTACTTCGACAGTTTCTCTAGAGAATAAACAAACTTGTGTTTCTTAAGGGTAGACACTGTAGACAAGGCTCTGCCACATTCCCCACACGTGTAGGGACTGTCTTCACAATGAATTAACTGATGTTAACTAAGGACTGAAGAAAATGAAAACCATCTGCCACACTCTTCACTGAAGGGTTTCTCTCTGGTGTGAACTGCCTGATGTCTCCTAAGAAATGAGTGATAAAAACTCTGTGACAGTCTTCTCCTTTGTATGGTTTCTCTTCAGTATGATTTTTTGATGTACTTAAAGGCATGTAGAAGCAAATCTTTTGCAACATTATACCCACTCATGGGGAGTATCTACAGAATGGATTGTTTGATGTCTTTTCAGGGACGTAAAAGAGGTATAACATTTCCCACACTCCTCACACTTGTAAGGTTTCTCTCTAGTATGAACTGCCTGGTGTCTCCTAAGAAACGAGTGATAAAGAAAGGCTTTGTGACACTCCTCACATTTGTATGGTTTCTCTTCAGTATGAACTTTTTGATGCTCCTGAAGGCGGGAAGAACTAGAAAACCTTTTGCCACATTCTACACACTCATGGGGAGTGTCTTCAGAATGGATGATCTGATGTCTTTTAAGGGATGTAAGAGATGAAAAACATTTGCCACATTCTTCACAATTGTATGGTTTGACTCCAGTATGAATTGTTTGATGTTCCTGAAGCTTTGAAGAACGGGAAAACCCTTTGCCACATTCTTCACACTTGTAGGGATACTCTCCAGAATGCCTTCTGTAATGTTCCCTAAGATATGAACGATAGCAAAAAGATTTGCCACATTCTTGACACTTGTACCTTTTCTCTCTGGAATCAATTCCTTTATGTTGGTTAAGGAAGAAAGCAGAAGAAAAGACTTTTCCACACTCTTCACACTTGTCAGGTTTCTCTCCAGAATGAATTCTTTGATGTTGCTTCAGCATTGCCGGATAGTAAAATGAATTTCCACATTCTTCACACTTGTAGGGTTTCTCTCCAGTATGAACTGCCTGGTGTTTCCTAAGATATGAGTGATGAAGAAAGGCTTTGTGACATTCCTCACATTTGTATGGCTTCTCTCCAGTATGAATTTTTTGATGATGCTGAAGATGTGAAGAACGCAAAAACTGTTTGCCACACTTTTCACACTTGTAAGTTTTCTCATCAGTATGGTATTTCTGGTGTATCAAAAGCGATGAACGACTGCTAAGTGTCTTATGACATTCTTTACACTTGTAGGGTTTGTCTCCAATATAACGTCTGTGGCGTATAGAAAGTGTTGCCTGAGAACTAAGGGCCTTACCACATTCTTCAAAGTAGTGAGGTTCCTCTCCTGTGTGAATCCTCTGGCATTGAATACTTAGAGAGCTGTGATCAATGGCCTCGCTGTGATTGTTAAATTCATTGCTTGTTGTTCCTGTTGAACAAGAGTTGATATATGAACAAAAGCTAAGAAACAGTCATCATTCTTACAATGTTTATCTTTAAAGTAGGGAGCTTTAGTCACACATATTTAACCATAAATGAAAATCTACTTGAGTCTAGGCTGAATATAAGTAAAAAAAAATGTAGTAGGTGATCTAATCTATCCTTCTACTGGAATCTGCAGAACTGAATAAAACATAGACATAATGTCATATTTTTGAAAATTAAATAGCTAAGTAAGTTGTCAGGTGATTTTAGTAACACCAATAAAGCCTATTAAACAATACAAATACGAGATCGCTGACGTCCATGAAGGTGTAAAGTAGAGTAGTGTGGAAAAGAGAAAGCCAACTGTGACTGTGGAATTGGGCCATCATCAAAACAAAAGCAAAATTCATTCTCCATTTAAATCCTTATTATTGAGTAGGTCACAGGAAAAAAAAATGTAGAAGATATTTTTATAATTCACAAAGCAGTATGATGAGATGACCCACTAACGCAAACTGTAGGGCAGTGGACTGTGTCATTACACAGAAGAACTGGTAAAGTAGTAGCTAGTTCAGAACCCCAGTCAAACTCATAATTGAGAACAGCATGAGTTAGAATGAGGTCCCTGTCCTGGAGCACGTGATGAGGACACCCTACTAAGAGGACCATGACAACCATGTCACTTAGCATAGAATCTAGAGTTCTCCATGCTAATGATGTATCTACATCGGCCCTGAGTGTTTAGTCAATGAGCTTCCCTTCCTAGGAATCTCTTTCTGAAAAAGGCATTTAATCTCCGTTCAACCCTAAGTAAGATTCACACATCTTTATCCACCATGAATGAAGCAGTTTGGACAAGGCAAGCTGTCTCCTCCACCAAGTACCACAGTGGGGGAGATCTTAGTCACAGAGGGCCTTATGGTGCCCAAGTCTCCCTTAGGAGACATTCCTACTCTTGGCGCTTACTCAGAGTTAAGCCAGATTACCACCCCCACCTCCCCACTACCCCTAACCCCCCTGCACTGGGCTTGTTGCAAGCCACCTGGGTCTCATCTCCTCACGGTTCCCAAGACTCTCTGACAGGCAAATTTACAGTTATGAAGGAGCAATGAAAACAATTTTGTGGTTAAGTTCACTACAACATGAGGAAGTGTATTCAAGGGTCATAGCATTATGAAGGTTGAGAACCACTACTGTTGAGGTATCACAAGAATGATCTTTTTGTGAATTTTTAACAAAGGTAAATTACTTTCATTTATGACATCATAATTCCATGAGAGTCACTAATTGATTGTAAGGTGTTATACCAAAGTAATTAAGGGTGAGTCACATTATCAATGATTATCTATCCTTAATATGACCAGAAGTGTGTTTGTATTCATGATAAATACAAATGTAATTCATTTATAGACAAAATATTGGAGGGAGAGACAAATTCACACCTTCCATCAGACAGTGCTCTGCACATGCCAAAGTTAAGCATAAGGCAAGCATCTCCAACACAGTGAAGTTGAACTTAAAGTTTGCTTAATATCCACAAATACTCAAAATCAGGTGTACTTAAAATGGTTATTGAAATTGGATGCTTGAATGAAAAGGGTTAAATCTACACACTACACTTGCATGGCAGGACACTGCTAGGATCAACTACATATCTGCCTCTGATGGGACAGAAGGGCAAGCTGGCTTCATCACGGGATAAGGATGCATGGGGCAGAGGACTTGCCAGCTTCTGAAGCTCCTGTCTCCCTCTGACCTGTAAGCCAGACCGGGAACTTCATCTCTTTATGTGCAGGGAAGAGGAATCACTCCTCCTGATTCACAAGACAGCGGGATGGGTTCTCCCATGCTGAGCAGGATTTCAGATTCTGCACTTGCATCCTAAAAGTCTCAAGCAATGGAGACACCCAGTATAATTAATTTGTACTCAAAGTTTACTGAATATATCCAGAAGCCAATAGCCCTATATACTCAAGAAGGAAGTTAAAAAAAAAAAAACAACAGATCTTTAGAAGAGAATGCATGTTCCCGTCTTTCTTTTTAACTCTTTTTTTTTTTTTTTTTTTTTTAGTTTTTCAACAGGGTTTCTCTGTGTAGTTCTGGCTGTCCTGGAACTCACTCTGTAGACCAGGCTGTCCTGGAACTCAGAAATCCATCTACCTCTGCCTCCCAAGTGCTGAGATTAAAGGCAGGCGTGAGCCGCCACTGTCCTGCTTAATTAATGTTAATTGTAGACATAACGCTGCCTATAGGACTAGCCAGTGACTGTCCATGACTGCATTCTGCAAATATGCATTTTATTAGCTATGATATAACTTGGAATTTCAGGTTAAAATTTTATAATGTTATAAAATTTTATAAATAAAAGTTTTTGACTTCTTAAATGTAAATTGTAGGGTTGACAACTACAGGAGAAGACTCTGCTTTGCACAGTCCATGATGGTACCCAGAACCCCAAATAAGACCATGCCGAGAGACCACCAACATTTCTCAGAGTACACACATAGCTTTGCTGGACCAGCTAGCAGCTGATCGAACAATATCCCAGCCCACATATCCCATATCCCAGCCCACAAAACATACAGAAGCCCACTGCTCTACCAGAGGACACAACTGGAACTGGAACCCCAGGTAAAACTCTAGAACCCCCAGAGACCATGCCAGCATCCACAAACCTAGAGGTCACCCAGGGTTTCAAAACCCCAGTGGAAGCACCATAGTGAACCAGTAGACTCACCTGTCACCATAAACACAGGCCACCAGGCCAGAAGTCCACGGAGGAAATAGAAACATGAAGAAAAAAACCCATTAAGTAAGACAAATGCAGAATACAGCAACAAAACTCATAACTATGGCAAACCCAGTTGCCTAGATGGAAGTGTAAGGACAAAACAACAGCCTAGGCAATACGTCACCACCAGAGCTCAGCAACCAGACTACAGCAAGCCCTGAATATCCCAACACAGATGAAACACAAGCAAAAGACTTTAAACCATCTATATGAAAATGACAGAGGTCCTTAAAGAGGAAAGTAGTGAATTGCATACAGAAATTCATGAAAACACAAACAGCTGAAGGAAATGAATTCACCTCTTAATGAAATCAGGGCGGGGGGGGGGTGGTGAGGGGAAATGAACAGGTGAAGGAAATGAATGAAACTGTTCCGAGTCCTGAAAACAAAAATCAAAGAAATAAAGAAAACACAAACTGAGGGAATCCTGGAGATAGGAAATCTAGGCATGTTAACAGGAACTACAGATGCAAGCATTGCCAGCAGAATACAAGAGAGAATCTCAGGTGTAGAAGATACAATTGAAGAAGTCAAAGAAAATGTTACTTCTGAAAAAAAACCACAAAGCATTGAAAAAAATCTAGGATAACATGAAAAGACCAAAGGCCTTAGAAAGATAGGAATAGAAGAAGGAGAAGAATACCATCTCAAAGGCCTAGAAAATATTTCTAACAACATCATAGAAGATAATGTTCCTAACTTAAAGAAGGAGATGCCTTTAAAGGTTCAAGGAACTTACAAAACAACAAATTGATTGGACCAGAGAAGAATGTCGCATGCCACATAATAATCGAAACATTAAACATACAGAACAAAGAAAGACTATTAAAAGCTGCAACGGGAAAAGGCCAAGTAACATATACCAGGAAACCTATTAAAATCACTCCTGACTTCTCCAAGAAGGCTCTAAAATTAGAAATGCCTGGAATGATGTCTTGGAGTATCTGAGAGACCATGGATGCCATCCCAGTCAACTACATCCAGGAAAACTTTCAATCACCATACAGGGACAAAACAAGACATTCCATGACAAGATCAAATTTAACAAATATCTATTTACAGATCTAGTCCTACAGAAGACACTAGAAGGTAAACTCCACCCCAAGAGGGATGAATAAATGCATGAAATCGTAACAAATAATTTCACATCAGTGAAACCAAAAGGTAAGCAAAACACACACACACAAACACACACAAACACACACACACACACACACACACACCAGCTTTTCCACCACCAACAAAATAGCAGGAACTAACAATCATTGGTCATTAATGTCTCTCAACATTAATGACCTAATTCCCAGTAAAGGGACACAGGCTCAGAGAATGGATGCAAAACCAGAATCCATTCTTGTGCTGCATACAAAAAATACACCTCAACAACAAAGATACACATTATATCAGAGTAGAGTGTTGGAAAAAGAGTTTCCAAGCAAATGGACCCAAAAACCAAGCTGGTGTAGCTATTCTAATATCTAAAAAAATAGGCTTCCAACCAAAATTATTCCAAACACTCGGGGAAGGACACTTCATACACATCAAAGGGAAAATCCACCAGGAAGACATCTCAATTCTCAACATCTCTGTCACAAATCCAAGGGCACCCACATAAGCAAAATAAACTATACTGAAGCTTAAATCCCTCATGGACCCTCACGTGTTAATAGTGGGAGACTTCAGTACCCCACTCTCACCAATGGACATGTTATCCAGACAAAAACAGAGAGATAATGGAGCCAACAGACGTTATGAATCAAACGTACCTGACATATATACAAAGAACATGTCACCCAAACACAAAAGAATATACCTTCTTTTCACCTCTCATATACCCAGATACAAAGCAAGTCTCAACAGATCTAAGAAAACTGCAACAGCCTCTGTATCCTTCCAGAGCACCATGGAGAAAAGCTGGATTTCAATAACAGCAGAAAGCCTACAAACTCACGGAAACTGAAAACCCTCTACTGAATGACTACTGGGTCAACACAGAAATTAAGAAAGAAATGGAAAGACTTCCTAAAATTGAATGAAAATAAATGCACAACACACCCAAACTTACAGGGGACACAAGGAATAACAGTCCTAAGAAGAAAGCTCATAGCACTAAGTGTCTTTGTTAAGAAACTGGAGAGATCTCAAACTAGCAACATAACAGCACAGAGGAAAGCTCTAGAACAAATGGAAGGAAACACCCAAGAAGAGTAGGTGGGGGGGAAATAATCAAATTTAGGGCTGGAGTCAGTAACACAGAAACAAAGAAACAATACAAAGAATCAATGAAACAAAGAGTTGGTTCTTTGAGAAAATCAACAAGAAGGGCAAACCCTTATCCAAACTAAGAAAAAGACAAAGAGAGAACATTGAAATTAACAGAATCAAAAGGAAAACTAAAGGAGGACATAGCACCAGACAGCCAGGAAATCCAGAGAACATACTCCAAACACCTGTACTCCATAAAATTGGAAAATCCAAAATAAACGCATAACTTTCTTCATAGATACCACTCATTGAAGTTATCATATACATCGTTTAAATAGACCTAAATGCCCTAAGGAAATAGAAGCAGTGATAAAAATTCTCTCAAGCCAAAACAGAGTAAGGCCAATGCCGCTTGAGGGTGGAAAGTTCTTCCTGGGTCAGTCTACTTATGAGCAGAGCTCCCTAAGAGGGGGAAAAAAAAAAGCTTAGACACTTAAACCATCACAAGTGTCTCAGAGATGCCTTTTCAAGATAGCAGAAGACTTTAAAGGCAATACCTTAAAAACAATTTCTACCTAAACGAATGTCTCAGTGTTCATGGTAGATCCTGGCCTCCACTTGTATCTTTGGATGTCTCATCTGTCCTCTGACCGCCTCATTTCTACACACCTGGAGGATTAGAGGTTGATGCTTGTCTTTTCACACCTGAAGATCCTTGGTTTTGCTCCAGAAATGTTACCAAGTATGGCTTAGCGACAGCAAGACCTGTTTGTAGGAAAGAGAAACAACACAGTTTGAGTGGTTCTTCTACTGGGAATGGGCTGGTTCCTTCTAGAATACTGCTTAGAAGAAAAGACATGATGTAATAAAAGAAATTATAAAAAATTAATCCTTTATATGTTTTCTTATAGGTATATTAAAATACTGTGGGGGGGGCCTTATAATCTGCGGAGTCTGATTTTCATTTAAAGGGAAAACATAAAAAACTGAATTGTGAAATATTTTCATTAAGTTTCTAAGGTTCCCACTAGAGGGAAGGAAATATACTTCTAATACAGACGAGTTACAGACAGAGAAAGAACAGCAAGATGTTTCTTACTATGTATCAACCTCTCCAATGTTTCCTTAAAAGAAAGGGTATAATAGAAAGCTCAATGAGATAATACACCAAAGGATGAAGCTACATGTTGATAATGAAAAAGAACTGAGTATAGATGCAATGCTCACCCACGAACACAAGGTTGCTGTAGTTCTCCAGCATCACGTCCCTGTACAGATTCCACTGAGCAGGCTCCAGGCATTCTCTCTCTTCTGCAGAGAAGTCAATGGCCACGTCCCTGAATGACAGCATTTCCTGAAATAAAGACCAATGAATAGTGCCACACTGTTAATTATCAAAACAATTAATAATAAAATAAATACCAATAGACTTCAATGTCAGGAGCCAGTCTCCAGCTCACAAACTCTGGTCTGACTGAAAAGTAGCAATACATGAAACCACAAAGAAGACGAGATTAGGAGGCTACAATGTGGCAATCACAGGACCCTGAGTGGCCCAGAGCTCTTCAACTCCATCTTTTAGTGTTTATAACATAAGTACTTGGAGAAACACTTCATAAGACTATACAGGGACATCACAGAATCTGCCCGCCACATTCAGCAATAGTTGGTTGACCAGAAATCCCAGACTATACAGAAGCCTGGAAGACAAGGCTGAGAATGGAGAGCAATGCACACAGCCTGTCAGGTGAGCAGAGCTGTGTCCCCTCCACAGACCTTCAAGACCCCTCACTAAAATCCCTAAGCCCACATCTGTCCTCACGACAACTCATGTCTCCATCCTGAAAGGGTTTGGGATTCTCCATGTCACCGTCTCTGATGGAACAGGGAGAGCTGACGGTTTCTATTATTTTCAGCTCAGCACTGTAAGATCATCCTTGCTGGGACAGTCAATACAAAGCTCAGAGCATTCTGTGATGGCATTGTTCTGCCTCCCTCTGGGAGCGTTAGTGTGAGGATTCATCTCACAGTCGTAGACTTTTTGTTATGAATTTGAAAACAGGAAGTTCACATTGAGGTGTTGAAAGAAAAAAATTTTGTTCACAGCAGGGCCAGACTTAGTCTCTCAGAGACTAAGGAGAGACTGGAGAGGCCATGGTATCCCGAAGCACAGAGAATTTACTAGGGAACACAGACGTTTGTTTCAGCAGTAGGTTAGTCATTCTGGACAGCCAGTATGTACACAAAATCCATAAATCAGAACTGTAGATTTAGAGAAGAGATTGACCAAGGCTCAGCCAATTGAAAAGGCAACATGTGTGCAATCTTACAGTGAGGCACGGCTGCTGTCCTCTGTTAACACCCTGTGACAGGTTTACAGTCTCATGCTTCACAGCTTCTAAGGTTACAACCCTTGAGGCAAAGTTTTATCTGTTTTTCTTATGGAGATTTTAATTAATCCTCCATTGAGAAACAGCTCAATATTCTTTTAGCAAACATGGGTGTCCAGCTACTTTCAAGTGTGGAACAAAACAGTCTACAAAAAAGATTCCAAGTGAATCTTCTTTAAATCCACAATTCATTTCAAAGAAAGTGGAATAAACATCACGGACACCAATGTCCCCTTCAGGACTCTGATCCTGGAACCTAGCTAGTTCTGTCACCTTAAAGCAAGACAAGAGTAATTCCATGTGCAATGATTTAAAACCAGTTCCGTTTCCAACTGAGCGTTGTACAACACAGCCACAAAAACAAACAGCAAACAACAGCAACCGGATGTGCATTCTCCTTCTGTAATCTCTCTTAACTGCTGCTTGCTCAGAAAACAAACAAAAAATATGAAGCAGAAAACTCCGAGTTGAGTCAACTGTGTTTTGTGACTTGAAGAATTCCAACCCCTGTCTACCCTTTTGCAGCAGTTCTCAAACTGGCAAAGGAGACTGTGGCTCTAAATAAAGCAGTTTCATTTTGTTGGTTGGTTTGTTTTTTACCTTTTAATTCCTAGTTTTGTTTGGTGATCTTTCTCAGTGGTCCTGAACTCCGTGTAACAGACAGCCATACAGTACAGAAAGGACAGATCTCCTCTTGACTAAACATACTGAGAAATCCAGTAACATCCACGTGAGAGTGACCCAGCTAATGAGCAAACGCTTCCACCAGCAAGCTGGAAAGTGAACGCCCAGCATCACCACGTCCAGGCAAAGACCTTCACCCAACCAACACTGCCCAGGCAGTCCCGGTCCTTACAAGCTTCTCCATTCCCTGAATTCTGTCAGTCTAACAGAGGTGACTCCCACCACCACCCGCATCGCCCTCTCCCCAGCCCTGACCAGGAGCCTCCTCCAAATCAGCTCCTCCCGGCCCCCATTCGACCCGTGCGTGTTCCCTCCGGATCTACGCACCCCGCACAGCCCCTTGGGTGACTGAACCCTGGACCAACCTCCATGTCAGAGATCCAACGGGAAAGCCTAACCGGACCAGAGTCTGGCCCAGCTTTGGATAAGAGCCGCACATGCTTACCAAAAGCAGAACTCTTGTTTACCAAACTACCGATCTGTGACGTCACCGGGTTACGGACTACATTTCCCACAAGCCTATGCGATGGGATAACTGGAGTCCAGGGAGAGCGAGTTGTACTTCTTAATGGTCCTGGATTTCTGCCCTGATGTCTGTCTGCAATGTAGTGTCACTTAGTTAGGAAGCATGGAGACCACGAACTGTGTCTAGTTCTTATGAGCCGAATGATTATGCAAGATGCTGCTTTCCCCAGTTCCTGTGGCCCAGCTTAAGGGGAAGAGGATTTTAATGGCAAAGTTCATAATTACTTCATTTCCGATGAAATTTACAGCTATTTGAGGAACTGCCACAAGGCTTTGGCTTAATATCCAGTACTGCACATACTTAAATGAGCCTTATTCTCCTGTATTGACACCTGTAACGCCCTTTCCTTTGTAACCGCCCGTTCTGCTACTTTGTAACGGGCGGGTTCTGCTGCTCCGGTCTGCAGCTCAGGGTCTAGCAAGAGAGAGAGTGAGGAGGGGCGAGAGACGCAAAAGATAGAGACAAGACAGAGTCTGGTCAAGTCTCTTTCACTGAAAGGAAATCCTGGGTATGTATACCCTTTACCACGTGACTTGCCCTCGTGGACAAGCTCAACCGAAGGCACTATGTCACGTGCCTTGTAGCCATGGATACAAGTGCTCCTTGCAGCTGGGGGCACTAAACAGTGTAACAAGATGTTTATCAGAGTGTGCTCAGCTGTTGCGGGCTGTTGAAAATAAGTCTCTTGTCAGGGTATATGGCTCGAGATGGCTGTAAAGATGACAGCCGCTTTCCGCTAAGAGTCGGCTCCCAACAGACACCCTGAGTGAATATTTGTCAGTGTACTGAGTTACCAAGATGGTAAAAGAGACACTGAAGGATGTGATAAGCTTTAGCAAAAGCAGCAGGAGAATCAGCTTCTGATGGACCGACAGCCAATATGTCGTGTTTGCCAGGATATATATATATCTGAGGTTATGCTAAGCTTTTGAAATTCCCAAAGAAAATAATCCCATGCATCTTAAATAACTCTCACGGATTTTTCACAGGAGATCACAGCAAGCCTAAGAATCATCGCTCTGGAGTGAATGCTGTGTGCAATGGCTCTTCTAAAACTCAGCTACAAGACATACACAGGTCAGAGGCCACTGTAGGAAGTAGTTTTCGTGTGAGTATTGGAGCCTATTCATGTCAGAGGTTAGTCAAGAGAAACAGACTATTTAAATCATCGAACAATTTTAAAGCCCTCCTCTCTGTTGTTCATTAGTAAAGATCTCCCAGATCCATCTCAGATCTTTTGTCATATTTTCAACCATTAGCTCATATAAGTGTTGAGGGTTGTCCTGATGTTCTTAGAATTTGATGTTGTTGATGTTAATTCGGCTTCCTCAAGAGGGGTAGCCCCCGGAAGTACTCAGGTGATCTCCATGTGAATCTTCTCCCCATTTATTGGTCAATAAAGGCAAGAGCCTGTGATTGGGCAGTGGAGAGGAAAGGTGGGGCAGGAGGTCTTGGAGAGAAGGGAGGGAGAGAGGCCAGGAGGAAGCAGCAAAGATGGAGCGGAACCATGTAGCCTGGAGAAACTATAAATAACCAAGGGTCTTATAGCTGAGGAATAAGTTAGTGATAGAGCTGCCCATTGCTTATAAATTGCAATAACTGGATTGCTTGTAAATATAATAACTGGATTGTATGGCTTTTGTATGGGATTATTGGAGTTGAAAATTATTGCTACATGTAAGAAAGTTAGTTTTAGTGAGTCTCAGGTTTTTTTTTGTTTGTTTTTTGTTTTTTTTTTGTTTTGTTTTTTTTTGTTTTTGGTTTTTCAAGACAGAGTTTCTCTGTATAGCCCTGGCTGTCCTGGAACTCACTCTGTAGACCAGGCTGGCCTCGATCTCAGAAATCCGCTTGCCTCTGCCTTCCAAGTGCTGGGATTAAAGGCGTGTGCCACCACTGCCCGGCTTAAGAAATACTTATCTTAATTACTATACCTCACTTTGGAACTTGGCCTTTATATGGACCTGATGAACAGAAGTCTGTAAGAGTCTCTGAATAATCTGAAGCACAAAAGTGGTACTCAATGATTTAGCTTCGTCAGGATCTGACTCGTTTGCTTAAACACTCCTTAGACCTCAACTCATCTTTCACATTTACATATATTCTTGTGTTCAAAACCATGTCTTAAGGTTTGTGTGACCAGTAGTTTTCCATATTAGTTCATTTACTGCCCCTGGCAATCTAGTTTGCAATTTTAATTTCTCTAAGTGTTTTATACACTGTTTAATACTCATAAATACACTGGTCAATAGCCTCGCTCTTGTTACTGACTTTGCCTATTAGTCGTCATAGAACTAGGAAAAAATACAATGTAACATAAAAGGGAGATAACAAAAGCAACTATCGAGAGAGGACAGTCAGATATAGCTCAGCTGACCTCAAGCTCTGCTACAAAGCTATAGTGAGGACTGCATGAAATTCATAAAAGAAAAAAAGTGCAGATCGTGCACTGTAAAATAAAACCCAAGGGAAAATGCTAATGCAATGGACATGCTAATTTTGACAAAAGTATAAAAACCAAGTACTGGACCTGATAGCTTTTCAACAAATATTGTTGTCAAAACTGGATATGCCCTGGGAGATGAGTGAAATTACACTTATGCCTCTCATCCTGCAAACACACAAAGGATCCCAGCTAGATGATATTACTTTAACATTGAAAATGCAAAAAGTATCCTACAGCAACTGCTGTAGGGTTCTCTGAAGGAATAGAAAGTAGAATGTATCTAGTTAGAAGAATTCATTAAACTGGCTTACAGGATATAGTCCAGGTAGTCCAACAGTGGTGGTTTCACTATGAAAACTGAAAGAGCCTAGCAACTATTCAGTACAAGAGGCTAAATATCTCTGCAGTTCCAATCCGGTGCTGAAGAGTTCTGGATACTTGAAGAGTCACTGGTTTTTAGTCTATGATGGAATCTAGAATATTTTGGATTTAATAAAGGCGGCAACAAGCGGATGGAGAGTTAGGGCAAGCAGTGGGAAAGCAAAAATCCTTCCTTCAGTATCCTTTTATGTATATTATCAACAAAGAAGTATGGCCCCGCTTTAGGGTTGTACTCCTTTTCAGTATGATTAAAAAAATCACTTTATGGCTCCAGTCCTCCTGTCGTTGTCCAGTGAGGCCTGAGGACCATACCCATCCCGATGTCTTTTTCCTGGAGAGGGAATACTTTTGACATCAACCCCTATGCAGTCAGGCTTGTCCCTCAGGGAACCCAGAGATATTTTTAACTTTTATTTATATTCCCTTGCAGTGCTTAGCCTCACAGCCTAAGCAAGAATTCAGATCGCCTGACAGAGGGGGTTCTGGGTGGCCCCTCTCTGCTTGGTCTAGGGGTGGAAGTCCCCTCTTTTAGGTTGGGTGGAGATGGGTTTGGGGAACACTCTGGATAGAGTAACAACCTCATCTTGAGTCTCATGGTCCTCCATAGCTAACTTATGATAATGTATCTGAATAGGTTCTGCTACCAAATTATCTATCTGCTGTTTCACAAAGCTGGTCAGCTTGTTTAAGGTCCATGACTTCATGTCTTTTCTTTTAGATTATAATATAAGCACATCATATCTCCTCCTCTACTCCTGCTAAACCCTCCCATAAATGCCTCTTTGCTCTCTTTCAAATCCAAGGCCTCTCTTTTCATTAATTTTTGTTTCATGAATATATGTATCTACAAATATACTTCTAAATATAACCTGCTTGATCGGTATAAAATTACTTGCACATATATTCTCAGGGCTGGCCACTTGGTGAACAATTGGTGTGCTCTACCCTGGAAAAGACCTATTTCTCCTGCTCTTAGCATTCTTTAGTTGCCTGGAGTACTTTGTAGAAGGTAGCTTATTTGGAATGTAAGAGTTCACTTGCTCCAGGTGGCCTTAAGGTTAGATGCAAAATTCTTGTTATTCTTTGCATTAAGGTAGGTTTTATTTGTTTGTTTTTACATTTTACTGCTGCTGTTGTTATTATGTTGAGATTTTAGGGTATATTTAGTTTTGCAATTATCAATGATTTCTACAGCAAAAATAATTTTGAGTTTTCTGTCACAGGGTTGGACATTTTAACTCTACTCCATACCTCCCTTAAACAATGATATCACTTCATTTTGATATACAATGTCTTATTTTAAAGATTTCCACAGAAGTTATTAAAGAAACAGGTTGAGATAAAAAAAGAAGGAAGAAAGAAAGAAAGAAAGAGAGAAAGAGAGAGAAAGAGAGAAAGAGAGAAAGAAAGAAAGAAAGAAAGAAAGAAAGAAAGAAAGAAAGAAAGAAAGAAAGAAAGAAAGAGAAAGAGAAAATCACTTTATAAGGGTTCGCAGAAGCTTGGGTTTCAGTTGATTCCAAGGCAGGCCATGGGGACAACCAAGATGAAGAAGCCTCATAACGAACAACACAGGCACAAGTGCACATACATTCAAACTACATACAGCATTCAAGTATTTGCTAAAAAAGGAAAAGGACAATCATTTGTACAGAGATTATACTGATGCTATGCCAGTGGTAACTGTGTGTATTGGGGGGAGGGGTATGTGCAGGAGGGGTTTCATGTCTAAGGAGAAAGGTAACCCTTTTCAGGGGATTAGGGTAGGAAGTACTGCTGCATATGTGTCAATGTCAGAGTGGTACTTTTGCTTGGCATGCAGTCTAAGTAACTTACCCTGTCGCTCTCATAAAATACCTGACAAAGGCAACTAACAGGAAAAAGCGTTTAATCTGGCTGTGGCTGAAAGTTACTATCCACCATGGTGATGAAGTTAAGGCAGCAAACACTTGAAGCAGCTGCTCACGTCACCTCCAGTCAAGAAGCAGATGGAGATGGCTGAGTAATGGCTACCTTCAGTTCATGATTTCCTTCTTATACAACCAAGGATCCTAACCAAGAAATAGGACCTGCCTGTCCGCCCACTTTCAACAAGGCTTCTGACCCCAGTTAAAC